TCTGATAAGGTCACTGATGTAAGATATGGGCAACGACAGTCTGATAAAAGACACTTTTTTCAAGAATGTGGCAAAATGAGTATTTGAAAATAATGGCTTAAAAAAAAATCACCATTTGTGATGAAAGACAGAGGTCCAGGTATTTTATTTTCCATTTGCAATGATGGGCAGGGACCAGTGTTCTGCTGAATATATGTTTGGTTATCAGCCTAGAAGCAAGTCAGATGGAAACTTAAACAGTCCGATATATGTCATTCTATTTGTGGATGTAATAGAGAAAAGAGAAAGAAAGGAGAAAAACTTAAACAGTCCGATATATGTCATTCTATTTGTGGATGTAATAGAGAAAAGAGAAAGAAAGGTGTAATATGGGATTATTATTTTCCTTCCTTTTCGGAAGGAAAGAAAAAAATGAACAAACCCTCCCGTGAGCAATAAAGTATCAGTAGCAATAGAGAAATCTTAGTAAAGAAATTAATTCAAGCACTATCTCTGACACATTTGACCTTTGAAAAGTCATTTAAAATCAAGCTTGGCTTACTTATTTAAAATAAGAAAGATACCCAAACCTGCCTTCTACCGTACAATGACTGTTGCTATGACAATAAACATAATATATTTTCAGCCCCTTGGTCAAAAAAATTTTTTATAAATTCAATATTATTGGAATTGCTCTTTTTGAAGTCACACACTTTTGACAACTTAACTGTTTTTCCTCTTTTGGTTTTTTAAGATTCAATAAACCATAAAATAGGGGCTATATTTGAATTTCAGTTTGTTTTCATATAAATTAATCGGTTTTTTTTGAAATTACAACAATGTTCTTTTTTATTCACATTTCTGAGTATTTTATTAACTCAATGTAAGAGAAGTGTAAATTGGATACACTATATTTTATTGTGTTAAATGGTTTGGGCTACTTCTCAATTCATGCGGACAATCCAATTTAAATTTGTTTTCTAAGAAAGGTCACTTTGTGAGCTGCTATACCTAGTCACACTGAATTTCAATCTGTGTGTTATAGGTTGTTTTGTTTTGTTTCAATTTTTTTTAGTTTTTTAAAACTGCCTAATTCTGCCTAGTTCCAAACAAAATCTCAAAAGTTACAAGCCAAGAAACAGGAAAGTAACAGTTTGTTTTTAATGACTTTAAATTACAAGTCCATAAGTACAATGTTAACATAAAGTACAATGATTAGTGAAATACACTATTTGGAATTTATCTACCTCGGTGAGTATCGCCTCGCGGGTATGACTGCCCACCTACTCAGGGGAGCTTCCATTGTCCAGAGTATTTCTAGAATTCATTCTCCTTGAGTAGTATTTTTAGAGCCTCTAGCATATCTTAATCTTTGTCTTTTGAACTTGGGTTTGATTAATAAGTCAATGTAATTTTGGCTAATTTTTAGTTATGTGTAATATGGGATTATTATTATTCTTGCTGCTTTCTTCAGTGCTACAGTTAGAATTCAGTGCTTCTTGTGTGCTAGGCAAATACTTTACTACTGGGCTACATCTCAGCCCTAGGAATCAATTTTTAATACCTACCAAATGTTACACTTGAATTGTGTTGGCCAATGAACCTGTGTAAAGTAGTATAACCTAAAAATAAAGCGCAATCGCTACAAAATATAGAGCCATGTTATACAGCAACTGAATAGGAAGAGCCTATGTGTTGTCAGATTGATGGTTCTCAACAACCACCTTGACACTGTCCAGCCTCAGCCAAGTTTTTAGATTCTGAGGATATATATCTCCTAGCTCAATAGCTTCAAGAATAAAATTAAATACAGATGTAAAAACACCAGCATAATCACTCCTTACCCTCCAATTCAAACGAGACAACTGTGAAGGGGGAAAAAAATACTTGTGAGGATGAAAGTAGTCCATTTATATTTTAAATTAATTTTTGTGCCTGCACTTTCCTATAATCAGATATTAATTCCCTTTTCTAATTTGAGCAACTATCTACTGCCATTTTGGTGCTTTTAGGTGAAGGGACTGTGCATGTGTGTGTTTCTCAGGTTGTGGCATAACATGACAGAGACAGCTGTGAACAATGAAACTGAAAATAAAAGTTGATAACCACATTATAGAGGGCTTTGAATGACATATTACAGGTCTGCATATTACCCAGTAGACAAGATGGCCACTGCAGGCTTTTGAGCAGGAGAAAAAGTCATTTTGTCTGTGCTCTTGGTAGATCACTGACATCCCAGGCTAAAATGTCCTGACAGCAGGGCCTGCTTCTTACGAACTTACTTGCACAGCTTTTACTCATCTTTATCAGAAAAAATTGAAGAACAAATGACTGGATGGAAGGGCTGGATGGGGAATACGCACATGGGCAGAGGCAGGAGGTAGTGGAAAAAAATGTCATGAATGTTTTACAGAGACAGGCTCAAAAGGATTTGGTGACTGGCTGGATGTCAGAGCCGAGGAAGATGGGGAGATTTGAAATGACTCTGAGGCAGCTGGCTAGGATGACAGCTTGGGGTGGGGGCTGGCCAAGGAGGTGCCATCACAGAAATAGAAAACACAGAATAGGAAACCAATTTTGAAGATGAGGGGGAAATGAGGCTGATTTTAGTTGAATTCATTTGTGCGGAGGTGGAGAGGTCTGACCAGCAAATGAAAACACAGGCCCAGAATTGAGTAGAGGTCAAGGTCAAAGATAAAGAGTTGTTTGTGGAGTTACACACATAAAGGCAAGAGCTAAAGTCCTGGTGGTGGCTGAAATCAACCCTAAGAATGTGCTGATTAAGAAGATTGGCCAATTACGGGACTTTGGAAAACACTACCACTTTGGGGATAGCTGTAGGAGGGGAAAGTAGAAGAAATGGTAGGAAAAAAACTGGGCACAGAAATACCACAAGAGGCCCATGTCACGGAAGCTATGGGGGGCTTCCAGTGGCACAGGTGTCACTTCAGACCCAGGAGAAGGGACAGTGTGATGAGATCTAAGAGGGGCTGTTAACTTGGCTGCGGGTGGTGCCCTGGTGACTTGTCTGAGAGTGACTTTAACTTGGGAGATGAGCCGAGTTATAGCACAAGGTCAAGTAAAGCAGGGAACAGGGGAGGGATGAGGCTGTAGCTCCTCTGCCCCCTCCAGCTACTGCTTCTTCGTCCTCGGAAGACTTTTCTCGGCTGCCCCAGTAAAATGTTAATGTTACCTAGGACTCTGTCCTTGGCTCTCTGGCTCTGTGATCCCAACAGTGAGGCTTCTCTCGGTTTCAAATAACAGAAAGTGACTCCAGTTGGCTTGAGCAGAAAGATTTATTGGAAGGATACAGAGTTACCTCACAGGACCCAAAGGGCCGTGTCTGGACTTTGCACACAAGCTTTAACCAGAAACTGAGCACTCCTTTCTTGTTCTCTTGGTGTCCATTTTCTGCTTCGGCTGGCTTTCTAGGCTCTCACCCTGTGCTCCCAAGTCTGCTCACGCCCACTTGGCATGCTCTCCAAGGGCACAGGCCGGGCTGAGCAGCTTCAATCGATGCCCATCCTCAGGCCATGCCAGGTCACAAGGCACAGATAGTAGCATGTGCTCCGGGGACTAGAATAGAGACTGCAACCTGGAACAAGAAGCTGGGGGAAGCTTATATGACGAGCAGGGGGACTGGGCTTAGGACAAGTGACAGGAGGGGAAGGTGATATGAACATTACTCCTCTTTGCTCTGACAGAGTGAATCCTCCTAAACTAAAAATCCTAAGGGTGCATTCCTTTGTAGGTAGGGTCCTAGGCATTGCATTTTTTTCCTAGAAAATAGCTGCCCCAGTTTTGTTAACTTCCCTGTCTACAACCAGCCCTCAGTATACATGGGCCAGTAGCAGTAGCCAAATCCATAACCCCTGGGTGAACTGGAGTTGACTGATCCAGGAGCCCCAACCAGAGCCTCTCTTAGGAACCTCTGGGCTTGGAACTGGTTGGTTCATGGGACAATTCCTTTTAAATGGTATGAGGCTGCTAGGAACTGTGGGAAGGAGGCAGAGTCTGGAGGTGACAGTGATGCTGGGCCTGGTTATCCTGAAAACTCAGGCACACCCATGCCCTTTCCTGTGAACATCTATAAGCTAGCCCAGCATCTTTTAGGAAGTTCTTTTGCAGGATAAGCTAGTTTGGGTAGTCACTGAAACCCGAAAGGGCCTTGGTTATCCAGAGTCCAAAGCGTTGTGCAACAGCTGTTCCAACCTCGCCTCTTGCTTCCTGCCTGCACCATAGGCAGACACCCACCCTGTCCCCAGTCATGTTTCTTGGAAGAAATGAGGTCCACATAGTGACTTCAGCGATTCTTTGGGGTTCTGGAAGTTACTGAATAAAAACACTGTTAGTGTATTTAAAATTTTCATATTTTGAAAATCTAAAGCCTGAATCATTTATCTTTTTTGATTAAGATCAATGACTCAACCATTCAATCTGTGATGAAAATACTTGCTGAACAAAATTCTACTCAAAGTCAGAAAGGGTTTTTCATCAATTGGAACAATTTGCACAAAAACACGCATGCTATTCAACCATACCACTGATACATTCTGTTTTTGAAATAATATATCATTTGCACTTAAAGATTTTCTTCATTTCAGGTAAAGTTTAGCTTATTAAATCTTAATTTATTTTTAACAAACCTAATTTTTAAATCATTCTGGACTTCCAGTAAAATAATAAAAATAGTACAGAGAGCTTCCAAATACCCTTCATCTAGTTTTCCATATTATCAACATTTTTTTATGAGTTTGATACATTTGTTACAATTAATGAACCAATACAGATACATTATCAATAATCAAAGTCTACATTTCACTTTTTTTTTTTTAAACTTATTTATTTATTTATTGTGTGTGTGTGTGTGTGTGTGTGTGGCCAGCTCAGCCCACCAGGGGGCGGGGCCGGCTGGCATGTGGTGCTGGGGGATTGAACCGCGGTCCCTGTGCATTGCTAAGCTTGTTCTAAGTAGGTGCTTTAGACCACTGAGCCATCTCACCAGCCCCATACATTTCACTTTTTTAAAAAAGTCCTTTTTCTATTCCAGGAACCACCCAGGGCAGTAGCTTACATTTACCTATCATGTCTCCTTAGGCCCTCACAGTTCACAACTTTATTTTTATTAAGGTTATCTGCTAATAATTTGTATGAGAGTGAAGCTTGCTAAATGCTTCTGTTCTACACATTTACATTTTTATTTGACCTTTAAACATTTAATACTTTTAAGATATGAATTATATATTGTTTTACTCCTGTTGTTAATGTTATGAATTTTGAACACCTTCATTAAAAATTAGTATTGGTGCCAGTATTCTGGAATTATTTTAAATGAAAACTGAATGTCCCGTGTTGCAGTTTGCTCTAGTACAGCGGTCAGTGGAGCCAGGGAACCAGGCAGAGCATGGAGACCAGGATCTGGATCCAGCTGTATCTATGGCTCTGGTGCAGGACAGAACAACCTGGAACTAGAAGTGTGTGACACAGGGCAGACGGACAGGCCTAGGTTTGCTTCTCTGCACAGGAAACTCAGGTTCAGGCCACTAGGCAGTGTCTGTCCCCAGGACCCACACTGCACTCTTTCTTCCTCTGTAAAAGATGTGAAAGGGCTGCCTTGTGTTCCCTCAATCCGATGTCTCTGTCTTGCACCACCTTGGAGTCACTGCGCAAGGAAGACTTGGACTCGGGTCCTCCATCTCAGATAAATCTTATGTCTCTGTCTTCCCAGTGCCTTGCTTGTTGGTAGAACCCACTACAATAAGCATGCAGTTCACATGGATGCTACTATCTGCTCAAACAATGGGGGATGAATGACGGCAACTGGTACCACTGGCAGGGCACAGCTGCCCCTACCAGCCTGCAAGAACCAGGGCCCATGTCAGGCAGTGAAGACTAGACCTGAGTGGAATATTCCAGTGTAGAGTTAGTGGGTGACAGGTAATAAGAGTAGAGAGGCGGGAGAGCCACAGGGGCAGCCTGACTCTGGGCTGCTACCCACAGAGGAGGAAAAGCCAGTGCTCACAGTCTCTAAGGCTGTGAGATCAAGAGTTAAATTACAAGAATGTAATTTGATATCGCACCATTATAAGAAAGAAGTATGCCTGATCTTCAGATATATTCACAGTTGATAGATCTCCCTAGAGTTGTCAAGACGCACACCACAATAGTTAGGCTTCATTTTGTCCATGCTTCATGGCATATTCGAAATCTCTGAAGCTGACATGACCATCTGAGTCACGATCAACTTCCCTGAAAAATGAAACAAAAGTTATTTTCATCAACACCTACACATCCAGAGAACATTAGTATCTTTTTTCTTTGCACATATTATCTACTTGAAAACTAAGATTTATTGCTGTATTTTTGTTCTTACACTGATAATATTCAGGTGGGAAAAAAAGAAAGTATTTATTAAAACCCACAGAATAATACATGTAACCTGCTTACAAAAAGCCAAATGCACAGATTATACAAGAAAAGGAGAATGACCATTTTTCTAGTTGTCATTTTTATAATCTGTAAAAATATACGTGCACTGCATAATGGGAATGTGAGGTAAACAGGAGACAACACAACCACTTGGGAACAGTGATGACAGAACATGGTACATGGGGGCGCTCTGCCACAAGAGACACCAAGGCTGCAGGAACCTCCCCGAGTTCCCACAGTCAGGCTGCAGCAGGCAGCAGAGCTGGACTCAAGTTGGGATAGCTGAACTCTCCACCCAGGGCTCCTCGCTACCCCACACCACTTTGTACACAAATAGGGCAGAGAGAAGGGTTATGCTGTTGTCCCCACATGAGTAACTCCAGCCCCTGACATTTTCACAGACTTTATTCATGGCCTCAGAAACTTGGCTAAAGCCTCATGGACACCCATAAGCTTTCCTGATTGCTGCGAACAGTGAGGAAGAGGCAATGGCCCACCAGCTGGCTGTTGCTGCTGGTAGTGCGGTGGCCTCAGAATGGTCATTCCTATATGTCTTTAAACCACTGTGACAGGAACATCACTTTCCAAACAGGCATTGGACAATGGCACCCATGCCCTGTGGCTAAGGTAATGTGTCAGGACTAAACCCAGCATAAGCAGCACATCAGAACAGTAACAAGTAAAAGAAGTGTTCCTTAAAGAGTGTTTGAAATGACAACTGACGAGTTATGGCCCTAATCCCTCTTTGGAGGGCTTTCTAAAACAATGCATACCCGCTTTCCATATGGCTTCCGTGATGAAAATTCAACAAATGGTATCAACCAGGACACAGGGCTTTTAAAGTAAAACTGGCCCAAGCAAGAGAGCCACTAATCACTGTAATAGTTTTAAAGCAGGCTTTTAAAATATTGAATTCTAAAATAAACTTTCTGAATATTTCATGCCAAAGTCTCTGAAGTCTATAATGGCTTTGGATAGAGTGATGATAATTTTTCATTCTTTTGAAGTAGAGAAAAATCCCTGTTTCTCTGCCCCAGGGCGAAGCCACATTGCAGTATGTTAGTGTGAAATGATTGCAGACTGCAGAGGTCATTATTCTTGTTCCTTCTTTTGGTGAAATATACATGATGATTTCATGCTATACAGCACCAAAAGCATAATGTCAGATCTCTTCTAAGGGATTAGAAATAATCAGTATCACACATTACCAACTACAGAGTATAAATCATCCTTTTTTTTTTATAAAATTAGATAATTGAAGATTCTTAATATCGCCTAAGTACTTCTTCCCAAGGAATTGGATTAGATAAATGGCCTTTCTTCTTTCCACTCTGAACTTGTATAGCTGAACTATAAATCTCCGAGGGTGAACAAAGTGAGTAACTTAGAAAAATAATGGTTAGAATAGACTGGTTTCTGATCATATCTTTGTGTATATTTTTATTCACTTATTGAGGTAATGGGTGTCTACACAGAAGGAATTTCCTTGGCATGCTTTTCTAAGTAGCCCTTCCCATCATGGCACTGCCCTCTACTTTTTCTTGCCATCTCTGCCAAAGCCGCCCATCTTAAGATGGCAGAGTATGACCAAGAAGTGTTAGCGCATTTGGGTTGGCATTTTATTCACATAATGAATGGTGTAGTGCTCTCCTTATATGCAGAATGGAATACAGTAAAATATTTCATCCCTTCTGATTTTCTTCACCTATATGAGCAGATCTGGTCATCTTGACTGGAATGAAGAGAAATTCACACTTTTGGATTATAACTTGAAAGCCTAAAATATGTGGTGTTTCATTACAGACAGAATTATTCTGAAGCAGGAAGACTTCACAGCACCCACTCGCAAATCACTGTGAGAGAAGAACAGATGTGGCTGGTGGGTAGCACTGCGGTGTGCCGGGGAGAGGAAGAGTCATTAGACACAGAGGAAGAGGTGCCATTCTTTCTGTTTCCAGCACTCATCCTCAGTTCCGAAAGCAGAATGCGCTGTTTGGTGTCACCAAAGTATATTCAACCCTGACCTACTATGCCATCTTTCATCCCAATTACAAATAAGCCTCTTAGCCCCTAGCAGGCAATGAACTTGTACTGAATGAATGAATCTGTGGACATGAACCTGGGGAAACAGGTGACATGTTTGTGGAAAAGGTGCCTCCCCAAGTACTGGGGAAAAAGAGACTGCATCACCACTGTACCACTGTCCATGGTGTTCAAACAAGAGCTAGAGTAACAGAGCACAGGGAAGGAGCCACTAAGGGCCACCACACTGGGACTCATGAGTAAGTTAATTATGGTCTCCATCCTCAACTACATTTACAGGTACAAAAGAGAGACTTGGGAATAAGAAGCTGCAGAAGTGGGCAATGGAAGGAAAAATCCCCTTGAATATCAGGCTGAAGAGTTTAGAGCTATAAGGCAGGAAATTGAATCAAAGCTGAACACTGGGTTTGCATGGGCCTAGCTTGTCCTGTAGTTGAAGACCAAACACTTCATCCAATTAAGTAGCTGCTCCTTGACTCAACAAAAGAAACAGATCCATACACGTGCCAGACTTGGGCTACAGAGATGGTTTCTCAGAGGAATTAAAGCTAATTCAGATGTATAAAGGGAAATAAACTGTTATTCACAATAACAACTGCTTTCTAAAAGTAGGTCTAGTTAAATTGAAGGTGTGCATGTATGTGCATGCGTGCGTGCGTG